GTAATTAATTACTTTGAAAATAAGTCATCAGTAAAGTAACAGGATTACTTTTTGGGGATGTAATCAGTAATTAGTTACTAATTACTTTTTTCAAGTAACTTGACCAACACTGGTCAGGAGAGCTCGCAGCGTGGTGCCTTACGGAGAGAAGGAATCAGCCGTCAGTGGTCACGTTAACCCGACGAACAGGAAGAGCGAGCACGGAGCGCGGGTCCCCCAGCTGCCGACTGGACTTTGACACTGTGGGATGAGTCCACACAGACAGAAACACAGCCCGGGTTGGGCTGCGGCTTTGAACATCTAGAACTTTTGCAAGTATTCTGGGCTCCTCCCCCTGTAAGACAACTTTCTTGTGATTGGCTGGCGTTGGGAAGCCTGCAGATTACAGATGAGCAGCGCAGCATTATTTTGTATTTTATTGTAATTGTGTGCTAAGTCGTTCCTGCAGAGGGCGCTCCACGTCGGCTCACCGACCAATCACAACAGTTGATGGCGTGGAGCTGCTCAGCCTCAGTCTGTACAGCCGCTGTCGGCAAACGGGCATCACAAACAGGAAGTGACATCACGCCATCGCACACAATGGACCTCTGTGAGCACAAACAGAGATAGCAGTGTTTCTTGCCCCTCCCCCACCGTCCCTGAACCTCTGCTTTCTCTCCACATCGTCATCACCCAATCACTGAGCTGTACAAAGTCACCTGACGTCTCCTCCTCTGCCTGTTTCCAGCTTCCTGCTCCTGTCCTCGCTGCTGCAGCCGACTCATGCTAAGCCTCGGGAAGTCCACAGATCCACACACAGCGGCATGAACGCAGGGGAATAAAACACGTTCCTTCATTCCCGTGTCATGTGACCCACGGGGTCTTTTCCCAGAGCTCAGTTTAAAACGCGGCGGACACCTCAACAGTTCACTTAAGCCACCAAAGCAGCTGTGCATGAGCCACAGTTCACAATAATCCTCCTTTGTGTGATTGGAACACATGGGCGAAGGAAGCGTTTAAAACGAGAACTAATGAGCTCTGTCGACAAAACGAAAGCTCGATTAATCGCCATCACTCTGCTTCCACCGTCTGACTAACGGCGAGCGCTGATGGAGACCGCCCGGCCCACTTGGGTCAGCGTCACCGAGGCTCAGAGCAAAACACATGTGAAGGCCCGGAGGAGAGACGTCACCAATAACAGCGTGAAGGATCTGACGCAGCGGTGAGTCAGGAAGTGTGAAGCCGGTCAGCTGTCGGTGACATCATGACCTTTTGACCAATAGCTGACTTACTGCGTCCTGACGAAAGTCCGGCTCAGAGTCCCGATCCTGGTTCTGGTCTGCTGTCGTCTCTGCCTCGCTCTGACCATTTCTCCCTGCACCGGCCCCGCCCCCTTCCTTTTCTACCCAATCCAACCAGCAAGAAGGAGGAGTGTGTGTGTCAGCTGTGTTCATGTGACTGTGTATTTTTAGCACACAGACTGTTATTATACCGACCACACACGCACACACACACACACACACACACACACACACTCTTTAAACAAACTTCAAAGGCCTCAATTACAGGAAATGACTTCACTCGCCAAAATAAGACGCTCTCTTCCTGTGTGAGTCTGTTGTGTGACTAAAACAGAAACTCTGATGAGCACAAACAGCTCCGAGCATCAAAGCGACAACAGCACAAAACACACAAATGGATTCAGTTAGAAACAAAAGAAAAGCTGAAGATTATTCAACACAACATTTCAAAATTTATAAAAAAAAACCAAATCTGTGAAAAATGTTAAAAATAGAAAAAGATAAATATGTAAATAAATAAATTAGAGTAAATATGTTTACACTAAAGGAAAACCAGGTTTTTAATGGACACCAGCAGCACACACAGACACACACACAACCAGACACACACAAACACAGACACACAATGAGTGACAGACGTAACTCGGCCACGCCTGCTTCCAGTCACTGATCAGCTGATTAGACAGAATGTGAATTAAACAGGAATCTATCCTGAGGTCACTTCCTGTAGTGTAACCACACAGAGCAGGAACAGCGGCCTGTATGGGGACTATTTTCAGCGGTGGATGAACCTGGCCGTGCTGCTGCAGGTTTGGCCAGAGGGGCCGATGGTGCGATATGGCAGCCTGGCTTCTCTCAGTCTGCCCCAGGGCAGCTGTGGCTACAACTGTAGCTGCCTCCACCAGTGTGTGAATGTGAGAGTGAATGAGTAGTGGTATTGTAAAGCGCTTTGGGTGCCTTGAAAAGCGCTATATAAATCCAATCCATTATTATTAAGACTCACGGTGAAGCTGTTGTTGACGTTTTTGGTGCTGGACTCGGCCACGCTGGCGTCCGTCAGGTCGACTTCGTCAAAGATGATGGACTGCAGACACACAGAAAAGGTTATGCTCACGCGTGCGTCCTCAGAACACAGCCCAGCAACTGAGCGGCAGGGTGGGGCTCACCTTGGCGGTCTGAGCGTAGTAGAGTGTCCTCCCTCTCAGCTTGAAGTATCGCCGCTTCCAGCGCTGGAACGAGCTCGTCTGTTTCAGCAGGTTCCCCTCCTTCAGCACAGTCTGAAACACACACACACCTGTGAGCACAGATTCCTTCTTTCTCAAGCTGAAAGTGTGTAAATCTTGTGTAAAGATGGAGGCTGTCCGCTGCACAGTTTTAAATAAAGTTGGAAGTGTTTGAATGTTTCTGGCGGCTGAGGCGTGGGACAGCAGGAAACAGTGGAGTGCAGCTTCCTGTCAGAGTCCCACATGACTCAATCTCAATGTTTGTCCCATACTCTAAATAGAACCCATGTTCTTCCTGTTCTTCCATTTGCTGCCGCGGGAAATTCTAGACTTCACTGCATGAGCAGGCATTAAACCTGTGATTTATGTCCTCGTTCCCGTGCTTTTATTTTGAAAAGTTAAAAAACTCCGTCTTTTATGTCTGTCAGAATTATTATTGACATTATTCTAATTTTCTCTCATTTTCAGTGTTTGAAGAGATTCGTGTCGTGTCCAAATTCCTGGGCTGCTTCCTCCTGAGGCCGCATTTGTAGACCGATTACGTCACAGCGACGCGCCGAAGGCTGTCCAAATTCGTAGACTCCTCCGAATGCAGCCGACAAATGCGTCCTCCTTTTCCCCGAATTTGAAGGATGGGTCGGGTGTGTCCTTCGTGGCCCACCATATCCCAGAATTCATAGCGCGGCCCAGCCAAACTCCAGTTTCCAACAACGGCGGCCGCTACTAAGTTTTAAAATTACTCTTATGAATCTTTCTGGGTCACAAAATAAACTTTTAACACATTTTCAGGCGAGAATGTAGCTGTGTAAACTTCAAATATCTGCTCGGTTTATCAAGATATCGCATATTTGCAGAAGTGCTTCAACGTTTTCGGAGACGTCTGTTACCCACCAGCTCGACAGCTAGCCGGGAGCTCGAGGGTCACTGGAGCTGCCGAGAACGGCACAACTCCCGGCACATCATTTTCAGATCACCGCGGAGTTTCGCTGCTCGGGTTAAACGTGATATATAAGTCACTTAGACAACCTAAAAATGTTATTGTTGGGCTTTTTTCAGTGTTTTATTTGTTCGTGAGTAAATCGGCTTGGCTGAGATTAAAGTTATTAGATTAGATAAAACTTTATTAATCCCCCGGGTTGGTTCCTCCTTGGTTTTCACACAGCTGACTAAACGTCAAACAGAAAACTGATTAAACAGAAGTATGAGACGGTCGAGAGTTTACGCCAGTGTCCTGTTATATTTTAGATAGCAAGGAGCAGACGGCCGAGTTCATTAAATTCCACCGAGACAGCGCTGACGCTAACTAGAAGGCGAGACCGTCCAATTTAACAGCCGTTTACTTCCGGCCTACCCGACCACCTCAGGAGGATGCAGTCCATGAATTTGGACACGACCAAAGACACCTGCAGTGATGCTCACACCTCTGATGAAGTCTCATAGTGTCAGCTTTGGTTTATACACAGATAGTTTACACTGAGTTTGTTATTACAGAGAAACATCCATCCATCCGCTTCCACTTATCCTTTCCAGGGTCGTGGGGGGCACTGGAGCCTATCCCAGCTGTCATAGGGTGAGAGGCGGGGTACACCCTGGACAGGTCGCCAGTCAGGGCTAACATGCAGAGACAGACAACCATTCGCACTCACATTCACTCCCAATGGGCAATTTGGATTAATCAATTAACCTGTCCCCACAAGCTGCATGTCTTTGGATGGTGGGAGGAAGCTGGAGTACCCGGAGGGAACCCACGCAAACACGGGGAGAACATGCAAACTCCACACAGAAAGACCCCGGCCTGATGGTGGAATTGAACTCAGGACCTTCTTGCCGTGCGGCTCTATGAAGTGAGGACTCGGTGAAGATCTGCAGGTCACAGCGTTGACCCGTTAACCCTTTCGCCATGACGACGCCATGTTCACAGAGGAACACCTGGCACATTTGATCTGGTGCCCAATAACACCGCTCTCTGTGAGTGGGATTAAGTCACCGGAGGCCCCCCTGCAGCAGGAACCACACCTCACTCACCTGTGTCCTGCTCATCAATGATGCCTACCGCCCTGAAAACCAGAGCCTGTCTTTGGTCAGCTCTGTAGGTCGAAGGAAGCGCCTCACAGTGAGCTTTCAGGACTCCGGGTTTGTTTTTTAAATTGTTTCCTAATGGAGCTGCTTTAACATCGTCTGACAACACGATGTCCACATTTCCGAGTCTTTAGCCTGCCCGTGAAGGCAGCAATATGTAATCAATAAAAGTATAATCTGTCACGTATTGATCAGCGGTGCCAGTTTGAGTTCCCGCTGTTCTCTATCGCAGTTAAAATCCCGCTGCTTTTACCGGAAAACCGGCCGTTACGTGTCGACCGTGATGGGACCGTTATGTGTCACAGTGCTAAAGCTAACGTAGCGCCGCCTCAGTCCACCCCGCAGCAGCACGCGCATTTAGGCCACCAGCGATAGGAAACACCGATGTCTCACAGCGGGCCCAAATCTTTCCGTTATCAGGTGTGAGCTAGTAACCGGGGTTTGAACTCGCGACGTTTCTCTGTTGTTTCCGTGCGTTTTACCGGCGTCTCCGCTGACTTTATGCCGTTTCTGCCCGAATTAGGTTTAACGGAAGCTCCACAGATGGTGAAAAAACCGCACCAGTCAGATCCGTGTTTACACCCGGTCATCTACTGAAACTCGGTGTCTGGCTACGGCGTTTCCCGTTATGTGGTTTAGAAATGGTCTAAGAGCTGTGGCCCTTACCCCAGAAAGCACAGTTTTTCCAGGGACGCTGAAGCCTGGGCTCAGAACTCCGTTTAAAATCGGTCAGATTTAAAGTGACACCAATTTTTGGACTACGGGAGCACGGGCCAAAGACAGTAGACCGGTTTAAGGCGCAAACGCGTCCGGTCTTCAGTTCGGCGTCACCAGCATGCAGCCTACATCTCACACTTGTGTTTTAAAGGCAAAGATAGCGCCGCCCGCAGCGGCCAATGGAGGACGGCTGTCCGGGAAACAGACGTCAGAGCAGCGCTGAAACATCACACATCATGTTCACTGCGCGCCGGAGTATCCGACGGTCGATGTCTGGTCCGAACATGTTTCACTCTAACAATAAACCGGCTGCTTACCGCTAGAAAGAGGGACCGGCTTTTAAAGAGTCCGTATTTTACATGGAGTTCTGCGGGCCGGTGAGCCGGTGGACAGCATCGTGCCCTCAGGCTGCGTGTGGCCCTGCGCTGCTGAATGAGCGCCGCCGCTGACCGCCGGCTATGCGCAAGGAGCCCCGGATGTTAGCACACGTACCTTGCTGCGGATCTGGCCGGACGTCGACACTTTTCGGATGAGTTTCTGCGGAGTTCCGGGCTCCTGTTCCGGCTCACTATCTGATGACTCGTCAGGGCACCGCGCCGCGGCGGAATCCGGTCCCCCTGCCTCCGCCATCCTGCCATCAGACCCCCGGTGTCTACCGCTAGGGGGAGCAGCGCCCCCCAGCGGCAGAGACCGGACAGCACAGCGGAGCCGACCCCTGGTGGTCACTCGGTGACATTACAACAACACGAGTTCTCCGCTGGCGTGAAAACAGCCTGAACTCAGCGGAGAGGGTTTGATGGTCCACTGAGCTCCGACAGGCCTGTGTGACCCATAGCATTCCCGCCTCTTACCTGAAAAGGTTGCTCTGTGAAGCAGCCCGACGCCTCGTGAAAGTCACCGGTGACCAGGTTAACTAGATTTTAGGTAACTATTTAGATTTCTTTACATAGTCCACTCTCAATGGTGCCGGTGTTTCATCATGCACGCGTTAAAGACAAAAATAAGTTCTCCTTCTCCAGCTCGTGCAAAAGCATACACGTATCAATGTTATCTTCAGATAACAATGAAATCATCTTACTTAAACACAGCAATCAAAACTCAAATCTAGTTGACCTGAACACAAGCTCTCATGGCAGGTGTGGGGTGAGGGTTACACCTTTGCCCTCGCAGATTTAGTGAAGCTCGCTCCCACACGGCAGAGACTCAGGTGTACTCTTAGGTGAACGGAGTCGTTTTCTATTTTACTTTTAGGCTGAATTTCCAAACCAAACAAAGTTCAACCCTTTGACTCAAACACAGAAAACAGCCATACGGTGCTGTTGAGTCAGTAGCAAAGGAATAGAGAAAAAAAACATATAAATGATATGAAACAAGAGGAAAACTAAATAATAATAAAATAAAACAGGGGTTTGAGTCCAAGAGCATCTCTAAGTCCAGTAAGGAAATACATTTCAGGGCTTTTGTGTCCAGATCTGGAAAATGCTTTGAGATGATTCTTCAACGCACAGAAGTGGGCTCGGACTGTAATATGTTGCTAAAATAATCACATTATTCAGTCCAGATTTTTGTCTTTCATTAATACTCCAGTGTTAGTCCACATCATATACAGAGCAAAGAAATGTTTTAGAACAAAGCCAACTTTGAGAATCGGTCCAAACTCACAAACTAAGTTGGGCTGTAATAAAACATTTTCCACAGTCTCAGTGTTGTCTTCACAGAATCCACAGAAAAGTCTTCCAGTTCAGCCTAAAGTGTGAAAACTGAGAAAACTCGTTCACAAGTTTAAATTCATTGTCGTATTTTTTGGCCTCCTCATCCTCACTGAAAACAACACATTTCCTTTTCAGTTTGCCAGGCTAGCATTTTGTTGACAAAAGGTTTCTTATTAATCGATTCTTGTCTTCTCTCTCTCTCTGGATACCTTCAACAGTTATCGGTCTCACTTCTACACCAAGGTTGGAATATCTCCCAGTCTGTTGAACCATTGTTTTAAAGGGTACCGGGACGATCTTCATACCTGTTTTGTCCATGAAGTGAGTCACGGACCATGGTGCTTTTTGCTCCCTTTTTGATTTTCTGTTAGCACCAATGTGTCCTTAGTTTCACTTGAGTGTATTATGTGTTGTGAACTCATGCTTGTATAGTAGAGGAGAGCTTGTTGGTGGAACTTTGACAGCTTTGTGGGCACTTTGAGAATATCACGGTAGAGAAAGTCAATACCTCCTAATTTCTGTGTCTGACAAAAGAGCTCAAAAATCTTAGTTTAAGATCTTAGCACTCAATGTCATTTATCCTTATATTGTATATTGTATAGCTTTCTTGTTATATGTAAAATTGTATTATATTATTTAATTTTATTTATTTTTTTTACTTTAAAATATTTTACTTGCATTTTTAATCACTCTTATATTTAAATGTTCATTTTCTATTTTATCTAGGGATTGAGAGTAACGAAGTTTCTATTCTCTGTATGTCCTGTACATGTGGCAGAATTGACAATAAAGTTGACTTTGACTTTGACTTTAAGGCTCCGTTCATAACCCCCAAATCAAAACTTCTCTACACTCTTAACCCTATCAGCTCATCTCCTGTAGAGACATTTATTATTTTTCCAAATGAAATTCAAATTCACGCTGAATTTGAGTCATTCTGTCACAAACTCATCTCGGATAATAAATTCTTCCAAACACTGTCGTGTTCCTTTGAAGCCATGAATTAAAAGTGGATTTACATGCTGCTGTTAGCCGCTCTCTGTGGACCCAGGCAAAGGATTACATTTGGGCTCTGAACACGCCCCCCGGGCCCAGGACGAGCTGCCCTTAGAGTCCGGGCCCTCTAGGTCCACAGCCTCAGTGTTAAGTGACTGACAGTTAGTATCCACAGACACAATGGCTCCACAGATACTCAGTCCATCTGCAGAGACACACAAAACAGCAGGAAGCCTCAGTTTGTGGATGTACTCATTAATCATGACACTTTATTAATCCTTAAGGAAATGATGTAGGTTATAGTTGCTCCAAGACAGTAACAGGCTAAACTAAACAATACATGTTACAGATTTTTCAAATTTAAGAATTAAAAATAGCACTAATGTACACAAATCACTTAATTATAAATATCAAGAATATTATGGATGGATGCTCACTGGACTCGATCTGATCTCTTTATTGTCACCGTATAACAAAAGTACCTCTGTGTGACAGGAAGTAGAAGTGAGAAACCCAAATGTAAAAACATGGAGCCGTGCGGAGTGTGAAACATGGAGAACAGGCTTCTTTAATCAAACACAAGCACAGCGACTAACAGCTCACAACCTCAATCTGTTTAATGCATGCAGAAAAAGTGGAACACACACACGTATGTCAGGTATCACCGTATCGGACAGAAACAGGAGAAACATCGCTGCCTCTAAAATAAGCACACTGACAGGTCAGCTATGACGTGCTCTACAGAACGTCAGCAGCTCGTTTCACTGAGCTCTAAAGATGCACTTTACTCGTCTACATTCGCTCAGAGCCTCACGGCTAACAGCCCGGCCTGCTGACACTCATCATATCCAGCATTTCCTTCATTTAACGTGACACACCGACCCTCTGAGGACGGGAAATGTTAAACTCTGCCTCCCAGAAATGACCCTCAGGCCCTCAGCTCCACGTGCTGCAGGAGGAGGTGGAGTTGGACGGAGAACGGCCAATCATGGATGCCTGTGGCTACGTCGGCATTCTTCACCTAACCCTAATGAAGCACTTAGACCAGGGGTGTCCAACTCCAGGCCACGAGGGCCGGTGTCCTGCAGGTTTTAGATCTCACCCTGTTTCAGCTCACCTGAATCAGATGATTAGTTCATTACCAGGCCTCTGGAGAACTACAGGACATGTTGAGGAGGTCCTTTTAAATCAGCTGTGATGGATCGAGGACACATTTAAAACCTGCAGGACACCGGCCCTCGAGGCCTGGAGTTTGACACCTGTGACTTAGACCATTTCATTCATCAAAGACAAGCAGCTCCACCCGTCCATCCACCTCAGCGTCCTCCCAGCCACGACTGCATCACTCAGCTTTGTTCACAGCATAATCACTGTGGCCACCGGAGGGCGCTGCATCAGGTTTGGGAAACCCTAAAGTACACACCAAACCCAGCCATGGAGGAAATGCTGCAGGAAAAAAAAGTAAAAACACCTGGTTCCAGGTAAAAGTACTGCATTAGGGGAGGAGATGGTCATTTATGGCAGACAGAGTTTTTGGTTCCTGCTAGCGCCACCTCGCGGCTGTAGTTAGCCTGGGGGTGGTGTTGCAGGAAACACGATGGAGTCGTTAAAACAGTGAGGAAACCACGGGTGGACGACCACGCTGTGTTCATCTTCAGCTCCGAGTGGCCGCCGTGCCGTTTGACCTGAGGCAGCCATCTTTGTAGTTCAGGCGTCGGTGGGGGACTCGTCGTCGTCTCCGTAGACCACGCCCTTCAGGTAGGCCCGTTTGAATTCCTCAAACACCATGTCATCTGATTCACTGCAGCACAGACACAGTGGGAAGGTCAACAGCAAGCTTCGCCTCCTGTCTCAGCAGTTTAAGTCACTTCCTGTTCTTGATAAACAAGAAAAAACTGAAACACACGTATACGTTTAAACACACGTTTGCCGTAAACAGTCACATGACCACGCGGAGGTGCTGGGGCTCGATGACCAGCTTTAAACCACAGCCGCCCGATCAAGGTTGTAAAAACTAAAGTGTGGGACTTCAGTCTATCAGCGGTGTCAAACATAAGGCTCGGAGGCCACAACTGGATCGGCAAAGCCTCCGATCTCGCCCGCTGGGCAAACGTGAAGGAGGGCAGGAATTTTGGCCTTTAACTGTGTTTTCATTTCAAAATCCATCCGCTGTTCTCACCGAGGTGACGACAGAACACGACAGCATAACATTTTACAGTCACAGGACGAGCGACGAGCGAATTTTCTACATGTCGTGCTGACAGATTTCTTTGATCTGCGTTTAGTTGTCGTGTGGAAAAAGGAGACGCCTGTTTTATATTATTTACGCCTCTCAGGGATTAAAAGTGGGATTAATCTTTACAGGGACAGCAGGGGCGCTTTGCTGGTCCGGGCCTCCACGTAAGACGAGCTTGACCTTCCTGCTCCACGTGAGCTACGTCTGCTGCTCTGCTCCTTTTAAATTTAGCCAGTCAGATTCGAGCCCCTCCCCCCCTTGTAAGACAGAGAATCGGCCTGGGAAGCGCCAACCTTTCCCTATGATGTCCGTCACACAGAGGAAGACGTCACTGTGTGGGACAGGAAGTGATGTCGTTTACTGTCACACTTACCTGTCCTTGGCTGCAGGTCAGTCAGCAACAAGAAAAGAGAAACAGGTGAAATATGAACAATATGAACTTTTTTATATGGCGCCAAATCACAACAGCTGGTTTCATACGGTCAGGTAGACCCTGCAGTGACACACCTGGAGGGTAACACTGGGAACACGCAAGAGTGTGCACCTGAGAGTGTGTGTGTGTGTTTACGTGTGTGTGTTTACGTGTGTGTGTTAAACTCTATTAATCGGTGCTAATCTGGATGTTAATCTGTGTGACGCAGCTTCTTGTTTATATCACAAACTGCTGTCAGCAATACACAAGAAGCAGCTTAAAACACACACGTAAACACACACACACAC